TCGTGATCCAAATCATAATTTTTGGATAGCTAAAGTTATATCTTGCTGACTTAGGTGATACCTGCACTCTTACCATAGAAAGAAGCTTCAGAGCTACGTGTAAGAGGGACTAAATTGCGTTGCAGGGAAAGTGAGTTAATTTCACTCTAGACAAAGATTGAGGCCAGGTTAGCACTAAACAGAACGCTACATCGTATCATTTTGAGGCCAGGCGCTACGGGAGAAAACCTACAGCAAGTATCTGAGCATTCAACAATCAACAAAACTTATATGCTGATCTAGAATGAAATATATTTTGTCAATGATGGAAACAAATGGGGGATACCTAGAATGGGTAACGCTTACCCTGCAGTAGTACCCATTCAGTGTTCAGCTAGCTATTTCAATCAGATTGAATGGGCTGAAACGCAAGTCTAACGGCCAAAGGGTAAAGGTCAGAGGTAAAATAGACTGTTCTCTTTGGATCTTCAATGTTTGCAGGCAATTGGTAAGTATACTAAGTTTTGATGTTAGTCTTTAGTAACCTGTTTAATCCAATGGTCGTTTAGCATATTTGGGTTGGATGGTTCAATGGTACATCCTTCAGGCTGTTGCGCAAAGTATGTTCCGAGAACCTTGAACACCCACCAGAGTAAAAACGGGGTCCGCTTGCTTGAGTTCTACAGGCTTCATGCACAGCACTCTCCCATGGTGCTGTTGCATTTGTAGGTCTGCAAAAGTTCGCCAGGATTGCTGCAGGGCCTTTATTTTTAAATCATTTAATGTGTATTCAGCTGTAGAGCTATAACACATGACCGGTGCTATGTATACATGTGGGATGACTCTTTTGACGTTAGAGACACTCATACTCTGGATTTCATTCGCAAATACCACTATGAGGTATGTTCGCTTACACAAACAGTCGACCCTCCTCCGTTAGTACCCACCAAAGGGACTTTTCAAAACCTTTAATTATCCAAGCATGCCTTCGTCATCCATGCATGCCGGCGCCGCGAGAAATGTGGTTGTGTTTTGCCAGATTCGAACCAGCGATGTACTGTCTCGAGTGGGATATGTGTCTAAGCTATCCAGACTCTACTTGGCAGACCGGCCAAGACGATGTACCACCGCACCATCCAACCATGGCGGTGTTCATTGGGTCGCCTGCACTCTTAGCATAGGGGGCTTGTCGCCTTACCCCATCGTAGGTGCTCAACGGAAGATGTTTAATACCGCTAGATTTGACTTCAACTTTTACCAGTCATTGAATTCTTGGTGTGAGTGCACTCAACGTCAAGACTAGTGATTCTATGCAAACTACATATATTCCGAAAATAATTGCATCGGCCCCAGGGCGACAAAATGTGCTACTTGAAATGTGTCTGTTGTTTATTGTACTACTTGAGTCTATGACTAGAGGGCAAGACTGAACACCTGTACGCGGTGTCCTCTACGAACCTGGGAGTGGAATATTCTCCCAGAGCCAAGTTCAGTCAAATTTCGCAATATCAAAGAAGTTGGCCCACGAGGCAATGGTTTAAATTACTCCACCACGTCAAATTTTCACTCCCAACGAGGTTGACTCCTACCTAAGTCTCATCAAGTCTACAAGTACGACCCAGTATATCCTCATCCCAATGACCACACCACCCCTCGACTTTCTCTGGTCTCAGCTGGTCGCCAAATACACGCCCACGCCGATATTTATACCTGACGGAGGAAACAAAGCGTGGCGCACAAATCTAGAAGACAGTTCATTTTGATGGACATGAGAGGGATTAGGACGAGTTCACAAGATTATGCAGAGGATGAATATAGTCTTGACAGGCATGAAATTTCGAATTTTGGCTAGGAGTTTTACGAATTGAGCTTTGTGCGCGCCAAGGCTTCGCTTGCGAGAGTGCAGCTGACACTACAAACACAAGCAAACGATGGAAGGTGTTGTGGTCCACCTCCTGGTGGTATTCTCTGGTGTAGTCTGAGTAGCCTAGGTACCTACTCCACTTGGGAAGGAGAGACCTAAGACCACATTTCTTCGCGCGAAACGTGAACGAATGATGGAGGCATGTCTGGATAACGCAGGGTTTTTGAGACGTTTCCCTGTGAGGGTATTCACGGTGAGGGTTGACTTGGGGTAAAGAAAAAGCTACCATAACTTCGCAGTGGTACCTGCAAATGAAATCTGAGGCATGACTGCTCTTCCCTTAGGTTGAATCATCTATTCTGTACTTTTCTTTGATATTGTGTCATAGCTAGATAGCTGCAAACGCAATTAAAATCTGATGCAAAAAAAAAAAGAGTCTATGACTATCTAGCACACTGGGCTCCTCTCTGACCTAAGCCATATCTTGTACAGTGCTCCTATCCTCTTGCTGCAAAATTCTCTTAGTTATTTCGCCCAATATAGATGGCCATTTAGTTCAGTATTTATCCATGGAATCCAGCCAACCTTTCTGTGGAACCTTCTACCCCAAAAAAAGTGGAAGCGATGGAAACTGCGTGCGCGGGAAGAGGTCTCAAAAAACCTAGGCAAGCGAGGCCTAGACATCGAAGCTACAAATGATATGTATGTCCATCTATATCTCCCTTCTTCCTATGACGATTGAACTTGACCAAGTCCACCACAGCCGTATTTGGAGCTAAGTGCGTTACAGAAAATCATCGAATAGCTTCCCCTCTATGACCAAGAAAAGCGAGTGGATGATATAAACGGCTTTGACTCTATTATCTAGTCTAATAACTGGGCCCAAAAAACTCTGGGAGGAGCCATGGTAAAAGCAGGTAACTGTCCGATAAAGGTGCTGCTCGACAATACCACAGCCGTGAAAGCTAGAAGAAACGACCAAGAAAAATCATCGCAGGCCGCAGTGGAAGTATTTACAAGACTGGCACGACAAGCCATATCAGTTGAGATCCGATGGATACCAGCTCACGCTGGGATAATGGGGAATGAAGATGCAGACAGACTGGCTAAGATAGCTCTCAGGAACCTACCGGATGAAACGGAAACATCTCCCTCATAAATAAGGGACAGACATAAATACACTTGAGCAGCCCTCACTCGGTTTGTCAGGCAAAGATGTGAAGAAGCAGTGGAATCCTGGTGGCTAGACCACAACCCGAGCCGCTACGAAGAATTGGATCTCCAGATGAAACGAAAACGTCCACTGGAGCTAGTACTTCCGAGGTGAGCGCATCACCACCTTATCGCAGCAAGGACGGGACACGGCGATTTCAGAAAATACCATGAAAGATTTGGCCACGAATTTGAAAACTGCAAATTCGTGTGCGGAAGAGAGAAGCGTCCTTGACATTTTGCCGAATGCCGGATTGGTCGACAGCAATAGAGAAACTTGAAGCAGGAACCACCACCAAGAGGACGAGAGATGCTGGCAGAAAAGGGCTGGGAAAGATTTCTCCAGTTCTTCACAGTAACTAAGTGTTACGAGAGGCAAATACCACACTAGGAGGACTAAGTCCTGCCGAAATAGAAGTTTTTCTGGACAAAGGGTTGTGAGGAGGAAGGAAAGGCGCAGGGCGCTTAATTTTCTTGGAATTAATTTCATTATTTATGTTTTGCGTATAGATTTGACAAGCAAACTATGTATTTAGGTTGTAGTGTGTTTCAAGGGAGTATAGACCCGTATCACGCCCATTGGGTGTGGGCGTAAGCCTGATACGAAATGAATTCAGATCAAATCTGGTCTAATAACGGTAAACTTCATGATAGTGGTGATAGGAGGCTGTGCTGAGGGATGAAGACGTCACAGACCACGAAGTAACCTGGGAATTTACATGGAAGTGAGTACAAAGGTATTACTCAATCTTAGCTCCGCAGACTCTACGGGGAGAGATGATGAGTCGTAAATTTTCGCATCAGGTGGAGGTTTGTATAGGACATTGCTGATGGCCGTTGAGCTTTCGTCCCCCCATACTCTTGATTCTAGGGGTAACTGGTGGTTACAAGTCATATCCAAATTCAGCATTTAATTTCTTACGCTAAAGCTCTGACAGTAAAATCATTACTCAATGGCGATAAATTTCGAAATCTTCTCGTTGATAAATGGATCCTTGAAGTATCAAAAGGGGCTTTATCCATGGTGAGGGATGGACCAACGAGGAGCCCGATATGACAAGTAGTCACATACTCAGATGATACAGTAAACAAACACATACACATATGCACATAACTTATTCTGGTCTTGTTCGAGATTGGTTTTTCGTGTAACTGTCAGAACTGACGACCTATATATCCAGAATCACTTCAGGCAATCAGCCCGGAAAATATTCCATTGCACCATCTGGCCCCCTCAACCTTTTTGTTTGTGGCTTCTCAAAGCCCCCTGAACTAGATTCAAGATTAACGGTATCCAGCTCACTATTTTTTAGAAGTAGAAATTTGGAGATGATGCTTTTTTCCTTTTAAGTTGGGTAAAAATGTTCGTTTTCAAATAAAGAATTATTCAGTCCATGGATGTCACCCTTGCTTGAAGTTGAGGTTTAATTTTAGCTACACATTTTTCCGGCAAACCTGTCACGACTATATGGTACAATAAAGCTGAGTAATGGGTTGGATGGTGCAGTGGTACACCATTCAGGCTGTTCTCCCAAGTAGGTACTGGCTAGCTTGAACACCGTCCCTATTTGAGACAGGAGAAAACTGATGCGGCTCCAATAAAACCCACACACAACTCTCTATCGCGGTGGGTATGTGTTTGATGGATATGAAAGCACACTCAGGTAGCTACAGGTTTTTCACGCTTTTCCCTGCGGTGGGTATGCACGGAAGAGGTCATACGCCGTAAGGGTTAACCTCGAGTGGTATCTGCAAATGAAATCTGAGTGTGAGTGTTATAAATGTCAACTTGAGTAATCCTACTTAAAGAACATATCTCCCAATAAAAACCTGCATGGGCTTCAAGGCACCTGATCAGGAGAATGAATAATTCATTTATTTGATGTAGCTGGGACAGGTAGCTCATGGCGCTAAGCGCTCTTTCGGCTAGGTAGCTAAGGTTGAAATGACACTGTGTCGCTATCATACTCATCAGCGGCCACCTCCGCTAATCAATTGGACATATTTATTGTTTCGGCAATATCCAGCAATCAGACGGCGGCTACTCCGGTGCGAAAACTGCTCCAATATTAAACATACTTCATCATTATCAAATACTGGTCAACTGGAGCCCGAAACTTTATTTCGTTCCCTTAATTTTGTATCATAATTTAGTTTTACCATAATGCGATTAGATGTGAAGGTACGCTTATGTCATTTAATACTGGCTGATATTATACACAATATTTCGGGATCTACACCGAATCCGGCATTGTTTAAGACAATCTAGAATATTGAGTCAACGCGAGAAGGGAGAAAGCCAAGCTGACGTGAAATTTGCCTCACAGAGACAGCTTTTCGCAAGAAGTGAGAGAGTGAAAGGGATAGATTTCCACTCGGTAGAGCCATGGATCTTAACAACTCTCTACAGCGGTAAGGTTCTAGTGAAATCCACCAGACTAAAATTCAGATTTCCGAGAAACAAGCTAACATGAGCTAGGGCATGTCTATATATGGTCATACGAAACACAAGTATGAAGTCGTCGGATATTCATGGAGCAAACAGCTAATTGAGATCAAAGGCAATTGTGAAGACGTTTGAATTAACTGATGTACCTGTTCGGGCAGGAAGATTTATCGCCCGGAAGAATTGGATAGTTTGCGGATCGGATGATTTCCAGTTGCGTGTTTACAATTACAATACTTCCGAAAAGATCACCTCATTCGAAGCACATCCTGATTACATACGTGCAATTGTGGTACATCCCACACAACCCTTTGTTCTAACTGCTTCTGATGATATGACTATTAAACTCTGGGACTGGGATAAAGCATGGAAGTGTGTGCAGGTTTTTGAGGGCCACTCGCACTACGTTATGGGCCTAGCTATAAATCCTAAAGATACAAATACATTCGCATCCGCTTGTCTGGACCGGTCTGTCAAAATATGGAGCTTAGGAAGCAGTACGGCCAACTTCACCCTTGAAGCGCACGAGACAAAAGGTGTCAACCACGTCGACTACTACCCTCAATCAGATAAACCGTACATCCTGACAACTTCCGATGATAGGACGGTCAAGATTTGGGATTACACAAACAAGTCCTTAATAGCAACGTTAGAAGGTCACACCAGCAATGTCTCCTTTGCTTGCTATCACCCTGAACTACCAATAATTATCTCGGGATCGGAAGATGGGACAGTCAAAATATGGCACGCGAACACATATAGAATGGAGCAGTCATTAAATTATGGCTTAGAGAGAGCGTGGTGCGTCAGTTACCAGAAAGGGAAGCAAGGAATCGCTGTAGGATTTGATGAGGGTGCAGTGGTGGTTAAAATGGGACGGGAAGAACCAGCTGTATCAATGGACTCTTCTGGAAAATTAATTTGGGCAAGGCACGGTGAAGTCGTCTCATCTATCATAAAAGGGGGAGATTCATCATTAAAGGACAATGATCCAATATCTATACCCACCAAAGATCTCGGTACCTGTGAAGTTTATCCGCAGACTCTTCTTCATTCACCAAACGGCCGGTTTGTCTCCGTATGTGGGGACGGGGAATTTATTATCTACACTGCTCTAGCGTGGAGAAACAAGGCGTTTGGATCCGCTTTAGACTTTGTATGGGGCTTCAAAGAGAATAGCAACGACTACGCTATACGAGAATCTACCACATCTGTTAAAATATTCAAAAATTTTGTGGAAAAATCTGGAGGATTTAATATTGAATTTCAAGCCGAGGGACTTAGTGGGGGCGTACTTTTAGGTGTCAAGGGCCAAGGTGGTATAGGATTTTTTGACTGGCAAACTGGTGGCTTGGTGAGAAGGATTGAAGTGGATACCAGAGAAGTATACTGGTCCGAAAATGGAGAACTTGTCACGATAACTTGCGATGATGTTTTTTATGTCTTGCGGTACTCCCGAGAAAACTATCTCGCAGCAGTACGCGAAGGTCTAGTCGAAGATGACGGGGTTGAGACAGCCTTTGAGGTCATTACTGATATTAATGAAAGGTAAACTCTACACCATCCAGGAAGATTTCCGCTAATTCTCTATAGCGTACGAACTGGAGAATGGGTAGGGGACTGCTTTATTTACACGAACAGTACAAATCGACTCAACTACCTAGTCGGAGACCAGACATACACTATTTCACATTTCGATCAGCCAATGTACCTTCTAGGATACATACAGCGTGACTCGCGAATATATCTTGCGGATAAAGATGTGAATGTTACTTCGTTTGCGCTTTCCTTATCGATGGTGGAGTACCAAACACTGGTTCTGCGTGATGATATGGAAGCCGCTGCTGAACTTCTTCCTTCTATCCCGACGGAACAATTGAACAAAATCGCTCGATTCCTAGATGGCCAAGGCCATAAAGAATTGGCGCTTGAGGTTGCTACTGACCCTGAACATAAATTTGATCTGGCGCTATCTCTTGGTGAACTGCCAATTGCACTGGATCTTGCTCGAGAGTCAAATGTCGAGCATAAGTGGAAAACTGTTGGAGACGCAGCTCTTTCCAGATGGGATATTGAATTAGCTGCTGATTGTTTCAAGAATGCAAAAGATTTTGGCTCGTTACTTCTATTATACTCCTCGACAGGTGATTTGGAAGGTCTGCGAAATTTAAATACTCAGTCTCAAGATGCTGGCGTACACAATATTGCCTTTAATTGTTTATGGCTGCTATCTGATCTAGGAGGTTGTATTGACCTCTTGACTAAAACCGGCCGAATGGCTGAGGCTGCTCTGTTTTCTCAAACATACAAACCCAGTGCTACAGCAAAGACAGTCGGGATATGGAAACAAAGTCTAGAGAACAACAAGAAAGGAAGAATCGCTAAAATGTTGGGAGTACCTGGAGAAGATGAAGAGTTATTTCCAGAATGGGATGAGTATTTGAGAATTGAGAATGAAGGTGGCGAGGATGCTACGGTGTTAGAAATTAATGAATCTACGCCCAGTGGAACAGAAAGCGATGAATAATAGATGATGTCAAATATTGGTCTGTTGCTCTAGCGGTATAAATTGTTCATTTCGGAGTTTAGTTGGTAGTTTTAGAAGTAACTCACGGGACAAGGTTCTCTCAAGCTTTTCTCACCAAAGATGACCAGAATAATTTATATCGTGTTATCTATCAAAATTATATAGTTTCGGAACAGATGGCGCAGAGTTGAATCTATCTGTATTAATCTGAGTAAGCGAATGGCTTGAAAGTCTGCTTCATTCTGGACAACATGATTGCCGATTGGGCAACGGCGGACCCATCGACAACTTCATCAGATGTAAATATGTCCTACAAAGCACACTGGTGTAGCGGGATCAGTAAATGATGGTAGATAAGAGGGCTCGTCCCAAAATAAATTCAGTTAACTATTGTACGCTACAGAAATAGCCGGAAAAATCGGACTTTCCCATACTATTGAAATTATACGCAGTGGATCGATTGATATCTCATAAGCTTTGTAACATTAAACAACACAGTTACAATTACATATTCTAATAGTGCGATCCTCGCTTAGAGGATGGATCCTGACATCACGTGACAATATAGACTTGACCTGAACTTGTTTATTTCAACACATACTACGTGCGACGTTAAATAATTATAAAAAAAAACACATACTACGTACACAACGAACAGTCTGAGTCGAACGAAATCACGATCTAATGTAAACAATATTCTCCTTTTATTTTTTATTTTGGTTTGTAAAGTCTTTTCTTGATTTAGTACCAATTGCATAGCATGAGATTCGTTGGACGGACGACCTTCATGTACACTATAATCTTCGAGCGTAGGATGATAAAATCCTAGCTATTGTTTGCTTTGGTGGGTCTGTGTGGGCGCCAACACGTCGGGTAGTTTAATTTAGACTGGGCTAACCGGTGCGTGAGGAACTCACGTGCTATGCGCGGGCACGACATTAAATATTGTATATGAATAAATAAAAAGCACATACTACATCCATCTCAACCCCCTTTGGATCTATTCGTCTTCTCTGACGGCGCCCTTTCAGAGGGTAGAGCCGGGTCCGGATATGTTATCTATCGCGGCCTCACGCAGATAGTTGGGCAGGGGACCCTTCCTCTCGGAGAATCTGCCGAAGTGTATGATGCAGAAATAGCCGGGGCCACTGGAGGCCTACGTATTGCTCTCCATAATCTGATGGCTCAATATGCTACAAATATTACGGCTTGTGTTAGAATTTAGAATAATTTAGGCCATCAAGTAGGCCACGCTGTTGATACACACGTGACTGCAAATTCTGTACTTAGTTTCACTTCGGTAGTTACTTGAGTAAATGCGCTCTACAACCTCAATGACTGAGGGGTCATTATTTCTTTGATAGTTTGCCTAGATAATCAGGCAGTCGCACTCCGTCTCTTTGTAGATACTCCTTCCCCTAGCAGTTCCTCTCGTATTGCTCACTTTCGATACCTTGCTACCAAGTGGAAAGGGAGAGAACGCAGCCACTATTCCGAACCAGGTGTAGTCAGAGTGCGATGGTGTCCAGAACATATCGGCATACCTGACAATGAAAACGCTTATGCACTTGCTAAACAAGCAGGCGCAGCCCTTACGCCCCCCTATCTCCAACAATCTCTCGAGCAAATAGACACAATATCTCACAATGTATGGCTTCTACAGCCCTATGCTGGTCCCAAAATTCCCCCTAACGATACCAACAGCTGGGAAGAATCATATTGGTTCCGGAAATTGTAAGAATGACATACCAAGTATGAGGATGAGTTAGAGTTATGATGAGTTTGTTTAATGTACGACGAAGTCTACTGATGTTTAATGGATAGTTAATTGTAAAGAAATTGCTATATTTCTATATGTGTGGCGAGAAGTCCCTCTATATACATGAAAGCGGGGTTTTCCGCACACTAGTGTGAACTCCAACATACTTCCTAATCTAACCTAAATGGGAAGGTTGTCGGAGATCCTGAAGCCAATGTATGCCGTCAGGCATCTCTTGGCTAATTACTATTCACGCCAGTGAGTGATGATATGGGTTAATCATATCTCATGGCGCCAGTGCATATTATTCTGATATGTACTATTTGTCTACTGCAGTCATGTTGCTGCCTTAATTACAACAGGAATTAGTGCCAATATTGGGAGCTCCCCCGAACTCGAGAGCCTTAACCGCTACGCTCTTGGTCGCCTTCTTGCAGCTCGCTCAGGCCATGGAGACTTTGCTGACTACCACCGCCGCTTTCAGCCCTTGGACGCTCTTCTTATCTGCGCTAGCGGGCTAGAAAAGTCACCCGAGCACTTCTTTTGTCGACTCAATCGGAGTGGGTCCCGCCTATGCAGTGGAAATACACGCCCAACGACTGGAGTTCGCTGGATTCTAGGCTCTCCTGGAGGAGCAATAGCATTTAGTAAATGGCTTCATGAAACATGCTTTTTTGAAGCCTGCAATAACAAGACTAACTAGTACTCCAAATTATAAACATTTGGCCTGTATTTGCTAGAGCTCAGATTGAAAGACTTCTGGTCTAGGTGATGGATAACTTGCCTTTTCATATATGTAACTATCTTCTCTACTGTGTTAGAATACAAAAGTCGCAGCTGGAGAGTTCTTTTGAATTCTTGCGATAGTTCGGGGTGCATGGTAGGTAGGTCTTGGCCCATTTATAACATGTCGGGCTTACTTAAAAGCATCGGCACGTCGGGTAGTTAATGTAGACTGAGATGGCCAACACGAGACCTTATGGTTGTTTGTTTTTTTATTATTTTATTTTATATAAATTTTAGGTCCTAAGCTATGCTCTATATCTCCTAGGAGTCAAGGACCGGTGTACACGGCCAAGATCATGCTTCCCACATGCCCGACTCGGTCTCACTGCGTGACCCACTACACAACCAGTAGCTAGTTATAAGAAAGAATATAAATGCTCCCACAGACTCCCATTACCAAAATTCCAAATCCAATACTCCAATTTGAGGTGGGAAAGCGACACTCCTCGTCTCGTTTTCCTTCCTGTCATGCTTCGTGCTATGACCTAGTTAATGTTGTCTCCGCTGAGAGCTGGTGACGGACTTGCAGGTGAGTCGCCGAAGCAGCCGGTTTCCTGCGCAAAATTTGTAAAGTTCTCGAGGCACTTAGGCCCGAGAAGCTTGTGGACAAAGTCGTGATGTGACATTGTCCCTCGGAGTCGACGCGTCTGACGTTCGTGCAGTCGACAGTGAATGAAGTGGAGAGGTGATGTTTCCTCTCCACACGCACACTCCATGGAAGCGGCGAAGTTGTTGAAACGACGGTGACATGCAGCGAAGTTTCCGTGTCCCGTTCGGGCTGAGATCAGATCACGGAGTAACCGCCGAGAAAGTGCCTGCTCCTGTGGCTTGCGTCGTCGTATGAGTAGACCCAGATTTCGATACCTAGGTGGACATGCTTCCTCCCACCATTCCTCGAGAAGAGCTTGACGTTTCTAGTTCATCAGACGACGAACGTACGCCAAAGTGACGGAGCCAGACTGCCTCTCTTTACTTGGAAGTTGTAGGAGGCCGGAGCGTGCAACTCTATCAGCCGCTTCGTTTCCCTGTATCCCAGAGTGGGCTGGTATCCACTGAACCGAGACTCGAGCCTTTTCTGATAGCGCCCTAAATTGGCGTACATCGTCGAGGCTTGTTGTGGCGGTTCCCGTCAGCAGTGATGGTTTGTTTGTTTGTTTATTCATTTAGGTCCTAGGTCTAACCTGTTATCCCCGAAGAGTCAAGGACCGGTTTTCACAGCCAAGATCCTATCTCTAATAAGCCTAACTTGATCCCACCGCATGAACCACTAAACAATAAGTAGCTAGTTAAAAATTCGCGACCGTACATAAATTCAACCTTTGAAACCAAACTCCTACCCACAAAACTATCCAGCCCTGCGGATTTCCCAATTTCTGGTCAGAAAACAAATCTTCTCGCCTTGTATTCCTTCCTGTCATATCATCTGTATGACTAATTTATATACTCCTCGATGAGATCAGGGTACGAATTTGTAGATGGCAACCCAAAACAGCAAGTTTCCTTAACAAAGTTTTTGAAAATTTCGGGACACTTTGGCCCGAGAAGCTTTTGGATGAAGTCACTATGTGACAATCTCCCTATGAGTCGACGCGTGACGTGTGAATGTAGTCGACAGTGAATGAAATGGGTTGGAGTGGTCTCCTTCCCGCAGGTGCACTCCATGAGAGCGTCCATATTGTTGAAACGGCGATGATACGCCGCGGAATTGCCATGGCCAGTACGAGCTTCAATCAGATTTCGGAGTAGGAACCTCGAAAGTCCCAGCTCAGGTGGTTTTCTTCGTCGCATGAGCAGGTTGAGCTTGCGATATCGGGGCGGGCAAGCTTCGTTCCACCATTTGTCAAGCAATGCTTGCCGCAAACGATTCATTTGGCCATGCAGAAATGCCAGAGTTATGGATTCTGGCCGTATTTCAGAGCTAGGCAGCTTTCGTAGGCTTTACCGGGCGGCCGAGTCAGCTTCTAGGTTACCCTGAATTCTTGAATGTCCAGGTACCCATTTAATTATCACGCGAGCTGATTTGGACAACTCACGAAATTTCCGTACTTCGTCGTGGCTTGTGGTGGACTTGCCTGTCTCAAGTGCGTTGATCGCCTCTTGACTATCCATTAGTAGGTAGACTCGTTGTCTCGCGCTCTGGAGTCCCAATGCCGCTTCAAGAGCCTTCCTTGCCCCGGTGATTTTCGCATCTAAGGCCTCCCCCCCATGCCTGATACCACTTCCTGTGAGAAAAGTCTGCCCGTCTCTCTTCAGAACGAAACCCCACGCAGAGCGTCCATTCCCTTCCGATGAGCCATCCGAGTAGGCACAAATTTCCGACTTCGACACCTGGTTGATCCATTGTCTACATTTCTCAATTTGCTCTTCTTTAGATCCTACTTTCGGTAAGTAGGATGAGGGTGGTAGTGCTTCCGCACCCTCTGCCTCTGGTAATTGTCGGTACGCTCGCTGTACT